CGCAACCACCAAATCTCGTCAACTTTTTGCTCTGCCACACGTCTCTGCTACGCCGATTTTTAGGGATTTTCGTTAGTGAGAAAGGAGGGGCAAAATCGTCCTCACCAGCCCAAAATGATAGACGAAAATCGCTTTCCTCAACCAAAGGGCATTTGGCCAATATGGGCCTCTTATGGGTATATTACGCCCAATCTCTCTTCTTATAAATGTTGGCGTTGGGATATTTTGGGAAGAGATTAAAATATCTTAAGGTACCTGATTAAATAGTTACTATCGCTAAGCAAATGATCACTCTGAAGTAATTTAACTCGCAATTTTGATCATGAGACCAAAATTATTTTCCGACATTGAAATTTCCGATGTGTTATATGTATACGTGCAGTTCAAGGACATTTGCCTATATATTATATAATGTTACAGAGTAACACTTGTTATCATAAATTATATATTCCATTCTTATGTGGTGGAGAAATCTAACCATAATGTTTTGTGCCTTTCTGCTTTGTATTTTTCTGTATACTTTAATATGTTTTGGTCTGCATTGCCAGTTCTATTATTGGTATCTTAGTAATAGGGGTTGGTTGGATAGTAGTTAGAATGTTAGTGTTATTTTATGTATAATACTAATTTTATCTTCTCTTAAAATATGGTGGCATTCATTCCTCAAATCTTAATGAAAATCTGCTTGCATACGTAAAGAATCATTCAAGTGTAACTTATACAAAAAAAAACTCAGCAAATTACATGAATATAACTTTGTTGTCATTGAATGCGTCACAAATGTCATCACTTCCCTTAGAAATAAAAATATTATTAAGAAAATGGTGAAATATTCATCTATGATTATGCTACTTTGTATAACAACATTGTGCATAACGCAAACAAACTCTAGTAAAAGCAGAATTCATTTCACTTATACCATTATACTGAGTCATACATCACCATTTCACCACCTGTAATGCGCAAAAAATTAATCGCACTAGAATGACCATAGAGGCAAGTTCCATTAATCAATTAGTCATCCAATATCCACCCTTTTTAATTTTAACACATAGTAATAAATTTGTGTGTTGCTCTAATTATGGTGGTTTGATAGATTCTCTTTACATTCCTTTTCTCCCATTTATATAGTTGTTATATAGCTTAAGTTTGTAAAATAACTGTTTTTGCAGAGAAACACTGAATTAAAATGTTTTGAGAAAAGTAAACAATCTGCTCTCACGTCTTTTGAGTTAGGTCTGAATTTTTTTGTCAACCTGATAATTCGTTTTTTTAATCCATGTTTTAGCCTTTATACGCACATAACGCTCTTTAAACGCCGCCGTTTCAGCGTTTACTCCTCAAAACGCATTTTTCTCGTCGCCGGAGCTAAACGATCTACACTGTAATGCTCGATCCACAGTAAATCAACGCCTGTAACCGTCTCCCGGATCCAATCATGGCCCGACTCGTTCTAACCTGGTGGATACCTCTGTTAATTCTGCAATCGTTTCTCCTTGCGATCGCTTTCGGATCCAACGAAGTCGAAGAAGAGTTCAACGAAGCTTTACTGTTGAAGCCGTTACCTGATCGGAAAGTCTTAGCTCATTTCCATTTCGAGAATCGAGCTCCTCCGTCGAACTCTCATGGCCGTCATCACCATCTCTTCCCCAAAGCAATTTCTCAGCTGGTAACTAACCTCTTTATCATAGAATGTATCGAGCTTAGACATTAGGGAAGAGATTGCTGTTAAGCATAGATTTTAGCTGGAATGCGATTAGGTCGTAACAGAATCTGCTCTATCTTTTGCAGTTAGAAGGAATCTGAACTTTTAGATCTTCCTTGAGGCCTTAAACAATTTAAGATAATAGGACTTATGTAGATGAACTCTTTAATATTCGAAGCTGAGGTGAGGCGAATGTTTCATTAGGCTTTACTCAGGACCGGCCATGAGCTTATTGTGATTTTGATTTCAGAGTAGATGATAGTTTCTAGAGTAACCTCTTTCCCATAGAATGTGTTGAGCTTATACTTTAGGGAAGAGATTGCTCGTATTAGATTTTACTTGAAGCATATATTTTAGCTGGGATGCGATTAGGTAGGTTTTGCTTAGGACCAGCCCTGAGTTGCATAACTTGGCATTCGAATCACAGACCTCTTGATGCACATAAGAATTAATGAATCCTTAGTCAAACCACTGGATTAAGAGGACTTATGTAGATCAACTCGTAGCTGAGATGAGGCGAATGTTTCATTAGGCTTTACTCAGGACTGGTCCTGAGCTTATTGTGATCTTGATTTCAAGTATATGACAGTTTCTGGAGTAACCTATGTTTGCTATGGCATTTGAAACAATATTGATTTTTCAACTATTAAAGGTTTTTGTAATCTTTGAGACGTGGATTATTAATACAGGTTAAGAAGTTTAGAGTCAAGGAGATGGAGCTATCTTTCACTCAGGGGCGTTGGAACCATGAACACTGGGGAGGGTTTGACCCGCTTTCAAGTATGAACGCGAAGCCTGTTGGTGTCGAGCTTTGGGCTGTGTTTGATGTTCCTCACTCTGAAGTTGATACTTCTTGGAAGAACTTAACTCACGCACTCTCAGGGCTTTTCTGTGCTTCCATCAACTTTCTTGAATCTTCGACTTCGTATGCTTCTCCTACATGGGGGTTTGGGAGAAGCTCGGACAAGCTGAGGTATGGTTCGCTGCCGCGTGAAGCTGTTTGTACTGAGAATTTGACCCCGTGGCTTAAGCTGCTTCCTTGTAGAGACAAGGATGGGATCTCTGCGTTGATGGATAGGCCGTCTGTTTATAGAGGGTTTTATCATTCTCAGAGATTGCATTTGTCTATGGTTGACTCTGGTGAAGAGGGATTGGGTTCTGGGATGGTGCTTGAGCAGAGTCTTACTGTTGTTCTTCAGCCTGATACTGTTTCTGTTGAGAAACATCTACAGCCAAGTTGGTCCCTTAGTTCACTCTTTGGGAGAAAAGTTGTGGGAAAATGTGTTCTTGCAAAGTCAAGTAATGTGTATCTTCAAATGGAGGGTCTAAAGAATGCGGATCCAGAAAAAACGCACACACTCTGGAAGAGCGCAGAGTTTGAATTGTCCATAGAACCAGACAGGACTCTTCGAGAACTCAGCAGCTTTCTTTATATCTTCAATATTGACAAATCCAGTGACAGTGAGCCATTTGATCTTGGGTTTACTTGGAAACTTCCGTCAAAGTGGTTATGCAAACAAGCTCCATTACACGCAAGTCGGTTCTTGATGGGAAGTGGAAACGAAAGGGGTGCAATAGCCATCTTGTTAAAAGCCACAGAATCACCGGAGAGAGATATCACTAATGGCTGTACAATAAAAGCTAATGTTTTCCAGATTTTCCCCTGGTATGTTAAGGTTTATTATCACACTCTACAAATCTTTGTGGACCAACAACAGAATACAAGCAGTGAGGTCTTCAAGAAGATCAATGTCTCACCATCTACGGATAAGATGTCATCTGGCATGATGGAGATGATGCTGGAACTACCATGTGAAGTGAAATCTGCAGCCATATCCATAGAGTATGATAAGGTGATCTTTCGTTTTCTATATTTTTCATGTATACTTTTCTCCACCTACTATAGTCTGATCGTGTCAGAGAACTGTTTTGTTTTCTAATTTGTTCTGTAAAATTTGGTCAACAGGGTTTTCTACATATAGATGAATATCCTCCTGATGCTAACCAAGGATTCGACATTCCATCGGCTTTGATAAGCTTTCCTGATCATCATGCAAGTTTAGATTTCAAAGAAGAACTCAGCACATTGCCCTTGTTATCAAAATTTAAGGTAAAATATCTATGCCCCTGTCACCTAATTCAAGGTAAAATATCTATGCCCCTGTCACCTAATTCAAATGTAATAACTTACTTTATCCCTTGGATTGTTGCAGGACAAGTCTTTAGTGCGCTCTTACACAGAAGTATTACTCGTACCTTTGACAACCCCTGATTTTAGCATGCCTTACAACGTCATCACGATCACGTGCACTGTTTTCGCATTGTACTTTGGATCATTGCTCAATACTCTCCGTAGACGAATAGGTGAAGAAGAAAGGTTTCTCAAAAGCAAAGGTTAGTAACCAAATGCTCTGTGACCAGGGTTCAGGGTCATTTAGAGACCTCACCTGAATTTTAATGTCAAGTTTATGATTGTTTTATTCTCTCTAGCAGGAAAGAAAACAGGTGGGCTTAAGCAATTGTTATCAAGAATCACAGCGAAGATCAGAGGGAGACCAGTTGAATCATCATCATCATCAGAGTCACCTGAAGCAGCTCAATCTTCAGTCTTGTCTAGGAAACTTCTTTTCAGAATCATGTTAGTTGCAGTAGCTGCTGCAGCTTGGCAGTATTTTTCTACAGATAAGTAGATCCAAATTTTTCAAGAGAGACAGACCAGTTGTACAATATGTATTTTACTTGAACCAGTAAGATTTTACCCCTTTTTAAGATCTGAATTTTTGCATCTCTCTTTTAGCCAAAAAACAATTACAACACGCTCTGTTTCTATATAGTACATCTCTATCTTATCTTCTTACGAGATGTGGAAGAAATCATATCATCTTCTCTTGTCCTCTTGAGACCATCACTAATGAAACTGCATTTTAAAGGTGTTTTGCCGACTCCGCTTTGTCTTCCTGCAACATATACAAACCATCAAAGAAGAGGCCATAGTGTTGTTTAAGTACATCAAAGAAGTGACCATACTGAAGATCTTACCCAAGCTATCACCCATGTTAAGTTTTAGTTTCTTGAACGAGTTCACATCTTCAGACAAGAGTTTTCTCTTGTTGCATCCAGAGAACAGAGGCTCCTCAACTGTTGATACTGAAAACAGTCAGATTAAACTCGGAAGAAACTATTCAAAACCACATGGTATGTGTAGCGAAGTTCCAACATACCTGAACACTTATCTTTCAACTTCTTGTTTCTGTTTAGACCAAGACTCTGAGGATCAGAGTGTGCTCCTGGAAAATCAACCACAAATATCATCATAAAATATAAATTAACTAGAAAACAGTTTAGTTCCAAGATTTGCTAAACTTAAATAAAAGAAACTCACTTTTGGTACCGACTTTAGAGAGCTTGCCGTCAACAACGAGAGCACCAGCTCCTTCTTTACCAGTAGACAAGCCTTTAGCTGAGAAGAAAGCGAGCAAAGACTTCCACGTCACACAAGAAGCGACTAAATCACTATCTCTGCTTATGAAGTGACCATTGAGCTTCACGGACGAGGGTTCGAGCCCAAACGCTGCGGCTATGGACTTAAAGTCGAGTTTCTGATCGTTCCAAGCAACCCAGTCGATAACCTTCGATACAGAAGGGCATAAAAGTCTAATCTTTCTCCAACCTTGGTCTCCCATCACCACTCTGCTTAGAGGCTCCAAGGGATTCTTGTGTGTGTTTGGTCGAACTTTCTCGTATATGATACTGTTTAACGGTACCTTTGTAGACTCTATGACCTTTTTATGTCGGCCTTCTGAGACCTTCCACTCGAACCTTCTGCCTAAGGCAGCGATTCCTTGGAGCGTTTGGGAATTCGCCGCTTCTTTATATGGGTCTATGGGCCTTGATTATCCATTTTAAATGGGCTTTTAATTGGCTCAAATTAATATTTTCTTTGTGCACACTGGCTAAAATTACTTTAGAACGATTCAAATGCATTACAAACGAAAGCACGAATTGAAAAACCAAACTATGATCAACGGTGGGACAAGGGAACCGAGGCCTTGGATTACTATTTCATTTTGTGGAAACATATAGATATTAAGCTGTCTTTTTAAGTTACTAAAAACTTGATTGGACAACGAAGTTTTGCCATATTGTTTTTACAATGTCTTATCATAAAAACAGCACACACGGATAAATACATAGAATTCAAAGAACTTTAGTTAATAACACGAGAGAAAAGAGAGAGAGAGATTTTCTAGTCCTTAGTCATGATCGTCTTCTGTTTTCCCTCAGCAAAAGCCATCCACGCTGAAACAAACAAACAAACAGACGAATGAGTGAAAGCTTTTAGCCTTTGTTTTCTCAAAGAAAAAAGGGACATGGAAAAGAATGAAGAATGTAAAGGACGTACCTTTGGGATATGTGCCAACGGTCACCTTTTTTATTGGGAGGACCTTATCAACTGCAATTTTAAAGCCTCCGACAGAACCTCCACTAAGTTTCAGAGCATTTTCAACAGCATCTTGACCATGGAGTAAAACGAGACAACACCCGCCCCTATGAACAAAACAACCGGATCCAGGGAAAGCCTTACTTACCATCTTCATGATATCATCCTTGCTAGCAAGGGAAGTATTAAATCCTGTAACTTTCAACCTAAATATAGCAAAAGATCATATTATCAACATGACAAAACAGGGATAACGATTTGTTTAATTAATAAATAAGACAGATAATAAGAATTTTACCCGCGCTGTTTGTATTGCTCTGTGACAATGGTAGGAGCAAAGACATGGTCAAGGTGATTGTCGGCAAAAGGGTAAGCAGTAATTTCTAAAATACGGTCTCCTCCTCCCATGTCACTTCCATTGAGCTTCAATGCCTCTGCTTCACATTCTTCATTAACATAGATTAAAGCGTGACTGTAAAAAGAAAAAAAGAATATTATAGACTAAGCAGCAGAAGCAGCAAAGCGATCAAGCTAGAGGAGGAGGAGGAGGAAGCCACATAACCTCCTGCAGCAGGGAATACGACTGTCGTAGTAGTCAACGGGAACAGAAACATGTATTAACTTTATTCCACGTGATGCGAAGTGTTTTCTCAGAGCCTCTTCTACATCCTCCCTAGGAGGGGAGGTGTCGTATCCCTTGACCACCATCCTTCTAATAATGCTATTTATTTTGCAAAACATATATATTAATTAAGACAAGAACACATGATGTATCTAATTAGATATAAAAATCTCAAAAAAGAGACGAACCCGCTTTTTGGAATCTTTGCATAACCACCGATAACGTCCAGACTCTAAAGTAGATAAAAGATTTAATCAGCTATGAAGAAGAAACAACTAATTGGAGAAACAGAAAGCGATGATAAGAGAAGAAGCGTTACTTTGATCTCGGATTCTTCCAGGGCGAGTGCCCTATGTTTCTCGCCGAATCTCCTTAAGCTGTTTGTTGCAAAGGATTTAATTAATTAATTAATCACCGTGAGATAAAACAACAACAACACATGATCTATCTAATTAGAGATACAAATCTCAGAAAAAGAGAAACGAACCTCCTTTGTAGTGGAGTGTCTGCATCACTAACCTTCGATTCCAGACCCTACGTTACGTTGTTACAATCGATCTAATCAGAAAATATCCTACGAAGAAGAAGAAGAAACAAATTCACTGAGAAATCGATAAGAAGAATTACTTTGTTTGCGGATTCGTCCATGGCTTGACTGCTGCGCTAGGTTAGGTTTTTCGAGAGAGGCGGGCGATGAAGATAATTTTGTAATTTTTTTGGTCTTTATATAGAGTGAAATTTATAGAGAGTTTGTTGGTTTTAAAAATTGAAAATTTTGTTAAATTTGGAAAAAATTGTAGAAAACTTTGTATATCGTGAAAATCTTGAAAAATAAATTATTCTAATAATTTTAGAATCTAAGTGATGGATGTAGTATTCTTAAAATCTTGTGAATTAAATGATTAAGAATACAACTCTCAATAACATTAATTTTAATAGATTTATATAATTATTAAAATATAAACTTTTTGAATAACAAAGGATTTTGTAGCAAAATTATAAAATCATCACTCCAATAACACTATATTCTAATAAAAATTTAAGAATCTATAAACCAATAACACCAGATAAAAGTCGATAATATTCGATACAGAGGGACATAAAAGTCTAATCTTTCTCCAATCTTGGTCTCCCATCACCACTCTGCTTACAGGCTCGAAGGAATTCTTGTGTGTGTGTTTGCTTGAACTTTCTCGTATATACTACTGTTAACGGTACCTTTGTAGACTCTTCTCAGACCTTTTTATGTTGGTCTGCTGAGACCTTCTACTAGACCCTTCTATCTCAGATAGAGAGTTTTAAAGTACTATTATCGCTGAAAGAAAAAAACAATAAAAAGACCTTCTACTAGACTTTTTTTTTTGGTTTTTCTGGATTAAAAAAAAAACAATAAAGGACCAATTGTGGACCGCCACGTATCGTGGGGTTCGCGGAACAATCCTATCAACAACCAGAATCAGACGCTTCTTTGGGCACTTGAAACATCAAATTGTGTGTTTTATGTGGTACCTCCTTGACAATATTGCTAAGCACTCCCCGTTAATAGTGTTCTTATGCAGCGTTTGGGAGTTTGGTTAACATTTATATGGGCCTTCAGCATCCATTTTAAATAGACTTTTATTGGTCCAAATTACTTACAAGTGTTTTTATTCTGGTAAAGTAGGGCTGAGTATCCAGGTACCCTTTCTAATATGGTACTATCTATTCGGATATCTGTTCTTTCGGATTCTAAAAAGTGGTCCCATTCGGTATTATAAAAAATCGGTTGGGTTCGAGGCGGATTCTCTCGGATCCAAGTGGGTTTGAATTCTATCCGAAATAACCAAATTAGTTGATTTGACTCAGATATTTTATATCTAAACTCCTTAAACTTATCCAAAATAACTTACAAATACTCAATTTATATAGTTTGAATTGGTTATGTTTTGTCTGAAAGTAATCATGGTTATAAAGTTAACTTTATAAGAGTTTTTTTAATCTGAAACATCCATTTTCATCTATAAATACTCAAAATAACTAATATATTTAGTTTATAATTTTAATTTTAGATATTAATACTATTATAATATAACTTAAAATAATAGTTTACATAGGCATTACAAACGAAAGCACGAATTGAAAAACCAAACTATGATCAATGGTGAACAGGGAACCGAAGCCTTGGATTACTATTTCATTTTGTGGAGACATATAGATATTAAGCTGTCTTTTTAAGTTACTAAAAACTTGATTGAACAACCAAGTTTTGTCATATTGTTTTTACAATGTCTTATCATAAAAAGAGCACACACGAATAAATACATAGAATTCAAAGAACTTGGCATTGCATGACAAGTAGTTAATAACACGAGAGAGAGAGAGAGATTTTCTAGTCCTTAGTCATGATCGTCTTCTGTTTTCCCGCACCCAAATCCAACCATGCTGAAACAAACAAACAAACAAACAAACAGACGAATGAGTGAAAGCTTTTAGCCTTTGTTTTCTCAAAAAAAAAAGACATGGAAAAGAATGAAGAAGGTAAACGACGTACCATTGGGATATATGCTGGGATATATGCCAACGCTCACTTTTCTTATTGGGAGGACCTTATCAACTGCAATTTTAAAGCCTCCCACAGAACCTCCACTAAGTTTCAGAGCATTTTCAATAGCATCTTGACCATGGAGATAAACGAGAGCAGACCCGTCATTATGAACAAAACAACCGGATCTAGGGAAAGCCTCACGTACCATCTTCATGATATCATCCTCGGTAGCAAGAGAAGTATCAAATCCCGTAACTTTCAACCTTAAATATAGCAAGAGATCATATTATCAACATGACAAAACAGGGATAACGATTTGTTTATTAATAAATATGATAGATAATAAGAAGTTTACCCGCGCTGTAGGTATTCGTCTGAGGCTTTGGTAGGAGCAAAGACCTCGTCAAGGTGATTGTCGGCAAAAGGGTAAGCCTTAATTTCTAAAATACAGCCTCCTCCCATGTCACTTCCCTGAAGCTTCAGGGCCTCTGCTTCACATTCTTCATTAACATAGATTAAAGCGCAACTGTAAAAGAAAAAAAAAAGACACAAAGAATATTATAGACTAAGCAGAAGCAGCAGAGCGATCAAGCTAGAGGAGGAGGAGGAAGCCACATAACCGGCAGAGAACAAGAGTGTCGTAGTCTTCGAAGACAGAAACATGTATCAACTTTATTCCACGTGATGCAAAGTGTTGTCTCAGAGCCTCTTCTACATCCTCCCTAGGAGGAGAGGTGTCGTATCCCTTGACCACCATCCTGCTAATAATGCTATATATTTTGCAAACGATATATCAATTAATTACCGTGAGATAACAACAACACATGATCTATCTAACTAGATATAAAAATCTCAAAAGAGAGACGAACCCGCTGTATCGAATCTTTGCACCACTACCGTTCAATTTCGGAACTCCCAGACCCTAAAGTAGATAAGATTTAATCAGAGCTATGAAGAAACAACTAAGAGCACCTTTAATGGAGGTTGTTTAGAGGGTTGCTTAGGAAGAGAAGGTGGCTTATTTTGAAGAGAGAGTGTGTGAAAAGTGCTTAAAAAGCACTTTTCACACACTCTCTCTTCAAAATAAGCCACCTTCTCTTCCTAAGCAACCCTCTAAACAACCTCCATTAAAGGTGCTCTAACTGGAGAAAAAGAAACAACCTCCATTAAAGGTGCTCTAACTGGAGAAAAAGAAAGGGAAGAAGAACCGTTACTTTGATCATGGATTCGTCGATGGCGAGTGCCCTATGTTTCTCGCCGAAACTCCTTAAGCTGTTGCAAAGGATTTAATTAATTAATCACCGTGAGATAAACAAATCTATATATCTAATTAGAGATAGAAATCTCAGAAAGAGAAACGAACCATCTTTGTAGTGGAGTCTCTGCATCACTAACCTTCGATTCCAGACCCTACGTTACGTTGTTACAATCGATCTAATCAGAAAAGATCCTACGAAGAAGAAGAGACAATTCATTGAGAAATCGATAAGAAGAATTACTTTGTTAGCGGATTCGTCCATGGCTTGACTGCTGCGCTAGGTTAGGTATTTCGAGAGAGGCGGGCGATGAAAATAATTTTGTAATTTATTGGTCCTTATATAGAGAGTGTCATCTCGACCTCGTTTTGGGCCGTAACTATTCGTCTCGTTGGGTCTCTCTAGCGAACCACACGACTACGTGTGCATGTCTTAGTGCGAGTGAAATTTATAGAGTTTGTTGGTTTTTAAAAAAGAAAAAGATTAGGATAGATGTAAAAAAAAAATTTGTCACAGATATAAAACTTAACAATTAAAATGATCAAAATAACATTTAAATATTTTATTAGATATAGATTTATATTCATTGGATTAACTAATCTTAGATTTTTTTGTTTAGAGTTAGAGTGGAGTTTTGGGATAGGGTTTCAAATTTTTAAAAACAAAAAAAACACTTAAACCTTCGTCTTATGTAGTGCTGTTTATGATTGTTTTCATATCTACTATATTAAAACAGAGTCATTCTTTTTATCTACTGATATAAGTTGTCATTTAAATTTGGACCCTTTCTAGAATGTTACAAATAATATAAGTCATATAATTGATTGAACCATATTACTTAAATTAAACCAACACAATTAATATAAAGAGACAATTTTAATGTAAACTACCTTCAAAATATGGCAGGTATCTATGTGTATACCGAACACACATATTTTCTCCTACAAATATGGAATGTTCTAAAAGAATATATATCATCAAAATATAGAATATGGAAATCTACTAATTATACTTAAATTAAACCAGTGGTTATTTATATAATATAGTCTTGGGCTTACTTTTATTTTTTGAACAAATTATATAGTTTGGTTTTTGAGCTTAGTATTAAGAAAAAAACTCTAAAAACATTGAATAAATTTTTCACCTTAAAAGATCAAAAAAATCAATTATTATTTTCAGACCCAAAAGATATTTAATATTTTTAACAAAAAAAAAATTATCTATTATTAATCATTTATTTAAATCATGTATTTTAAAACATGTTAATATTTTTTTTATTCTAAATAAAAATCACTTTGTTTTGATAAATTTCAATGGTAATTTTTAAATAATTTATTGTTTTATTTTTCTTAAATAATTTACAGATTAAAAAAATGTAAAGAAAAACAAAAAACCAAAAACCAAAAACCAGATTTAATAACTAAAATCCAAAACCAAAAGCTGAAAACACATGTTATATTTTTTTGCTTTGTTTATTTACAAAATAAACTATTTCAATTTTTTAAAAAAATTTGTTGTCATCTTTTCAGTTTTGAATTAGATGTTCGATTATTTGAGATTTGTTTGTTGATAATATTAGTTTAAACTAACTCAGCGGGTTTAAAAATTAAAAACCCAAACCCAAAACTGAAAAATGAAAAGTAGAAACTTAAAAACTAAAAACCAAAATCTAAAAATAAAAACTGAAACTAAAAACTAATGAAAAATAATCATCACCACAAATTTCGGTGAACTGATTTTATATCAAAATATTCTTTAAACTAAGACAAAACCCAATTATATAAATTTTTAATCATTAAAAAATTTCTGCGTTTTCAAACGCGGGTTAAAATCTAGTTAATTTATAAACCTATGTCTGGAACTTTAGATGAGTGCTATTTGAGTTCAAACATTTTAGAACCAATCCTTGCTATTGATTCATCACTTAAGTTGCATGAAACTTTCATTACAAACGCAAGCACGAAATGAAAAACCAAACTATGATCAACGGTGGGACAAGGGAACCGAGGCCTTGGATTACTATTTAATTTTGTTAAAACCTATAGATATTAAGCTGTTAAGTTACTAAAACTTGATTGGACAACCAAGTTTTGTCATATTGTTTTTACAATCATAAAAAACAGCACACACGAATAAATACATAGATTTTCTAGTCCGCAGTCATGATCGTCTTCTGTTTTCCCTCAGCAAAAGCGAACCACGCTGAAACAAATAAACAAACAAACAAATGAGTGAAAGCTTTTACCCTTTGTTTTCTCAAAAAAAAAAAAAAGACATGGAAAAGAATGAAGAAGGTAAACGACGTACCTTTGGGATATGTGCCAACGCTCACTTTTCTTATTGGGAGGACCTTATCAACTGCAATTTTAAAGCCTCCGACAGAAGCTCCACTAAGTTTCAGAGCATTTTCAACAGCATCTTGACCATGGAGATAAACGAGACAACACCCGCCGTTATGAACAAAACAACCGGATCCAGGGAAAGCCTCACTTACCATCTTCATGATATCATCCTTGCTAGCAATGTTAGTATCAAATCCCGTAACTTTCAACCTAAATATAATCAACAGAGATCATATTATCAACATGACAAAACAGGGATAACGATTTGTTTTATTAATAAATAAGATAGATAATAATAATTTTACCCGCGCTGTAGGTATTCGTCTGAGGCTTTGGTAGGAGCAAAGACATGGTCAAGGTGATTGTCGGCAAAAGGGTAAGCTATAATTTCTAAAATACAGCCTCCTCCCATGTCACTTCCCTGAAGCTTCAGCGCCTCTGCTTCACATTCTTCATTAACATAGATTAAACCGTAACTGTAAAAGAAAAAAAAAAAAAGAAAAAAGAATATTATAGACTAAGCAGCAGAAGCAGCAGAGCGATCAAGCTAGAGGAGGAGGGGGAGGAAGCCACGTAACCTGCAGAGAATACGACTGTCGTAGTAATCTTCGGAGACAGAAACATGTATTAACTTTATTCCACGTGATGCGAAGTGTTGTCTCAGAGCCTCTTCTGCATCCTCCCTAGGAGGAGAGGTGTCGTATCCCTTGACCACCATCCTTCTAATAATGCTATATATTTTGCAAACGATATATTAAAATAAATACCGTGAGATAACAACAACACATGATGTATCTAATTAGATATAAAAATCTCAAAAAAGAGACGAACCCGCTGTATCGAATCTTTGCACCACTACCGTTCAATTTCGGAACTCCCAGACCCTAAAGTAGATAAGATTTAATCAGAGCTATGAAGAAACAACTCACTGGAGAAAAAGAAAGTGAAGAAGAACCGTTACTTTGATCACGGATTCTTCGATGGCGGCTGCCCTATATTTCTGGCCGAGTATCCTTAAGCTGTTGCAAAGGATTTAATTAATTAATTAATCACCGTGAGATAAAACAACAACAACACATGATCTATCTAATTAGAGAAAAACGAACCTCCTTTGTAGTGGAGACTCTGCATCACTAACCTTCGATTCCAGACCCTACGTTACGTTGTTACAATCGATCTAATCAGAAAATATCCTACGAAGAAGAAGAAGAAACAAATTCACTGAGAAATCGATAAGAAGAATTACTTTGTTTGCGGATTCGTCCATGGCTTGACTGCTGCGCTAGGTTATGTTTTTCGAGAGGCGGGCGATGAAGATGATTTTGTAATTTTTTTGGTCTTTATATAGAGAGTCTCATCTCGACCTCGTTTTGGGCCGTAACTATCCTTCTTGTTGGGTCTCTCCAGCGAACACACGACAACGTGTGCAGGTCTTAATGGGAGTGAAATTTATAGAGTTTGTTGGTTTTTAAAAAAAAAAACAATAAAAAGACTAATCGCGGACCGCCACGTGTCGTAGGGCCTACGGAACATTCCAAGCAACAATCAGAATCAGACGTTTCTTTGGGCATTTGAAACACCGAATTTTGTGTTTTATGTGGTCTTCCCTTGACAATTGAGCTAAGCACTCCCCGATAATAGTACTCTTATGCAGCGTTCGGGAGTTTGGTTAACATTTATATGGGCCTTCAGCATCCATTTTAAATGGATTTTATTGGTCTAAATTACTTACAAGTGTTTTTATTCTGGAAAAGTTGGGATGAGCATCCAGGTACCCTTTCGAATATGGTACTATCCATTCGGATATCTGTTCCTTCGGATTCTAAAAAGTGGTCCCATTCGATATTATAAAAAATCGGTTGGGTTCGAGTCGGATTCTTTCGGATCCAAGTGAGTTTGAATTTTATCCAAAATAATCAAGTTACTCGATTCGATTCGGATATTTTATATCCAAACTACTCAAACTTATCCAAAATAACTTAAAAATACTCAATTTATATAGTTCGAATTGGTTATGTTTTGTCTCAAAGTGGATATAAAGTTAACTTTATAAGAGTTTTCTTATCCAAGACATCCATTTTCATCTATAAATACTCAAAATAACTAATAGAGAAAATGACTAGGATATACCTAGAAAAAGTTTGTCACAAATATAAATCTTAACAGTTAAAATGATCAAAATAACATTTAAATGTTTTATTAAATATACATTTATACCCATTGGGTTAACTAATCCTACACTTTTTTATTTAGAGTTGAGGAGTGGGGTTTTGAGAATATTGTTTCAAATTTAAATAAATAAGAAAAAACTTAAACTTTTCATAATAAAAAATGGTATTTTAGCCATTTTAATTTCTGAAGTCTATTTTTTTAATAAAAATGGCTATTTAAAAGAATTACCCTAACTAATATATTTAGTTTATAATTTTAATTTTAGATATTAATACTATTATAAATATAACTTAAAATAATATTTTACATACATATTTATAAATTTGGATATGTTATGATATTCATTCGGTTCTCAGTGCGAATTGGTATAGATGATTTGATTAGACATGATCGGATGAATCAAGATATGGATATTATGTCCAGGTCTAATCGGTATAGATGATTTGGTTAGACAAGATCGGATGGATCAAGATATGGATATTATGTCCAGGTCTATGAGAAGGTATATAGATGATTTGAGTAGTTTTATATCCCATTTTAGTTTGTAAAAAGTTAATTAGTCAAACGAGTAATTCGAACACCTTATTTCACATCAC